GGTATGCCCCTCGCTCCTCATCCTCTGGCTCCTGCTCTCTCCTGGCTAGGGTCTTCCGTCCTCCTCGAGATGGTCTCGCCTCCCTGGGCTCAGGGTCCCTCGGCCTCTGACTCCTCTGCCGCCTCTCGACTCTGGGCTGAGGGAGCTCTGGCCGTCGAAAGGCCTCTCTCAAATGTGCCCTGCAGCTTTCCCAATCTCGTGCCATGTCCCTGATCTGCATAGCCAGTGGCCTTTCTGCCTTCCTGGTCCAGAGTGGTAGTGTCTGCATCCAATCATCTCTCTGTATGCCCTGCTCTTGCATTAACCACTCAAACGCGGGGATGAAGTTCGACGCATTTCCAATCTCCAGGCGGATCGGCCTGCCATCAGGTCCCACATGCGAGGGTCGCCACTCCTCCATCCTTATCTCCATCTCCTGCCTCGTCGTCGCCTCCCTACGAATCCTGGGAATGGGCTCTTCGAACCTACATGCTCCCCTCAATCTCTCAATCGTCTGAGTGACGGTCCAGCCCATACGCCTCGCATACTCCCAGAAACTGTCCAGAAATAGCTCGATGTCCCCATCATTGTAGACTGGAGTACTCTCTCGTTGGCGAGGCCCATGCCGCTCATATCCTCCTGATGCGCCCAACGGCCTCTGAGGCGGTCGTGTCCCCTTCCCTCCTCTTGGCATGGCTGTCTTCGTAAAGTCAGATCTGCACAACAGGCGAAGGAGACAACAGGCACATGTTGGGGTAAGCAAGCAGGTGATAATCAGAGCAAGCTCAGACCAGACCACACTTATGCAGCATGCATCCTTCCTAACCTACACACCATGTTACTTCTATTCTAGGGGCGGTCAGATCATCTCTCTTACCTCTTCTCTCGCCACGAATTTCTTCAGTCGCGTTCCAGATACCCAATCCTTCCACTCAGTCTCATTTAACTCCTCGATCTGGTACGCTCCGAAGTCTCCGACCCGTGCAATTCGGTAGGGACCTAACCATCTCTTATCGAGCTTCCTGGACCACTGCTTCTCCAGCGACGTATCGTAGAGAAGCACGATATCCCCGACTGCCAAGGGTACTTTCCTCACTCGCGCAGACTGATCCCATCGGGCCTTATCATCCATACGGCTTCTCGCCACCTGATCAGATGCCTCCTGCATCCTTTCTTCTATCGCCCCGACCTGCCGCGCCCGAATATCGAGCAACTCTTCAAATGACAGGTTGACTTTCAGATCCCGGCGCCTCCACGTCTTAAGAAAGCTTTCGATAGGGAAGGTGGCATGTCTTCCGTACCACAGCGTCGCAGGTGCGTACTTGGTGGATCTCTTTACTGTAATGTTCTCGACAAAGAAAGCCACCCTTAGGTATCTTGGCCATTGATTAGGCCTACCTTCGGTCCATTTGGCCAGGAGGTTCGTAATGATACTATGTCCTCTCTCTACGGGAGCATTTGCCTGGGGGTGCGCAGCCGTGGTGTAGTTGGCTGCTACACCATATCTTGCTAACAGTTCTTGCGCCTCCTTGCAGGTAAACTCTGATCTCCTGTCCATTACGAATTCCCTGACGAAAGGATAACGCAGGTAATACTCCTCGATGCAGCTCACCAGGACTGACCCAGTCTTTGTGCGAATAGCTCGCCCGTCTACGAACCCAGAAAGGTTATCGCGCGCATCGAAGATATAGTTATAGCCCTGATCCCCAAGTGGCATAAAAAGCAGATCGAGATGCACTACGGCCCCTACCTCTCGCTCTAACCTTGGATGCAGCGGCTCTCCCTGCCTTAAACGGCATCTCTCCTGGCAGGGTACGCAAGATCGACAGAATTTTCCGACCATGTCCATCATTCCATCCCAGTAGTACAACTCACTTATCTTGGCATACGTGGCTTGTACCCCTCGATGCCCTCCTGCAANTTTTTTTTTTTTTTTTTTTTTTTTTAGGTTCGCGTTTGGCCCGAACGGCCGAACACATCCCCAAGGGGTCCCACACGTTTGGGCATTCGGGTTCGGGCGTTCGGCCCGTCCCGAACGTCGGTTACCCTATATATATGTATATAAATTAAGCAAGATTTTTACGTCCGCGTTCGGCCCGAACGGCCGAACGCATCCCCAAGGGGTCCCACACGTTCGGGCATTCGGGTTCGGGCGTTCAGCCCGTCCCGAACGTTGGTTACCCTATATATATATATATATATTAAGCAAGATTTGTCTGAGCATTACATCCGAATTGCTTTATGTCTGGGTGTGGGACCGCCGTGCTCGACAGCGCGCCCTCTCGTTTAGTGGCGTGCTGTGAACAATTCGGTACACGCGCCACTCTGCACACCCACCTGCCCTTGATCGCCTTCATCTACCAGCCTGCACAAAAACTTCGACCTGATTCCGGCGTGCAGCGGACCATCGACGTCCCCCTGGGGATAGGATTAGAGAAAAAAAAATGAATCGGGGAAAAAATGAATCGGGGAAAAAATGAATCGGGGAGGTTGACAAGCATCTCACATGCGCCACTCTGCACACCCACCTGCCCTTGATCGCCTTCATCTGCCAGCCTGCACAGAAACTTCGACCTGATTCCGGCGTGCAGCGGACCATCGACGTCCCCCTTGGGGTAGGATTAGAGAAAAAAAAATGAATCGGGGAGGTTGACAAGCATCTCCCATATAGCAGTAGAAACGCAGCAGGCTCTCCCGCGAGCGCGAGCGCGAACGCAGCGCAGTCCACGGCTCCCCCAAGGCATCTGTTCGACGTCATGACCCCCTTTCCCCTTTTTTACTCCCCTTCAGTCCCCCCCCCCAAATCAGAGAAAAGCCGGTGTGGTGTGCTTTTGGCTCGGAAAGGAAATCGGACGTCAAATCGGAAGCGTTAACAACAGGGTACAACGTCAGCAGGTGACTTGGGCGAATCGACAGAAAACGGGCAATATAGCGAATCAATCAAGCTGAACAACGGCGAGGAAGTAAAGAGACAAACAGCGAATCAGCTGAACGCGCGGGGAGATGTTTTTAGGAAAGAGCGGGGAAGTGAGAGGGCCGAGCATGGGAATCGCCCGCGGAATGTTGGTGTCGCATAGCCTGCGCTGCTGCCTCGCAAGTGCCAACAAGGAATTGCCGTCGTGTATGTGAGCAGAACGTAGATGAGACATCGGCGTCTGCGTATGAGCACGCGGAGTGGAGAGCGAGTGAAAGAGAGGAGAAAGGACAGAAGAGCGCGAGGGTGACGACTAAAAAAGAAAGAGGGAGGTCGTTAGCCGGGACGGGTAACGAGGAAGAGTGAGGGGTGTATAGAGGGGTCGTCAGGGTGTTCCAAGTGAGTTGTTGTTCATCAAGAAGGGGAAAGGTGGTAGATAGACATGGCGAATTTGTTCTCAGGCAAGTTGGCTCGTCTCTTCGGGATGGACGACACCCTGCCGTGGACCGACGCCGTCACAATCGCGGTATGCGACGATTAATAATTTAATTATTACTTCTTTGTTTTGGAAATATATATATCTGAATTTTTGTGACAATATATATATGTAGTGTTACTTAGTTTTTTGCAGTTGTTATTTGTGGTCTCAATTTTTTGTGAAGGAGAAGGGAAAAAGAAAAAGGAAGAGTGTCTGTGCCGAGGATGTTGGTGTTTTTCGCAGAGGGAATAATCCCGGCATATATATATATTCGTTTTCTTGAGAGTTTAATTAACCGATCCTGCCTTTTTCGGGTTTTGTTTTTCTTTCCCCACAAAAAAATGTAAGGTAGATTAATCGCTTTTTAAACTAATTGCCCCTGTTGAGTGTTGTCGTTCGGATTGGCCGATTCGCTCGCCTTCAGCAGTTGATTAACGGAAGAATCAATTAATTGATCGGAAATGGTGAGTGCTTGATTGGTCCGTCGGTCGATCGACTTTGATGAGTGCATGAGGATTGATCGGTAGATCGCCGTGGATTGGTCATATCACCCATCATCATTCACGCTAGAAGTTTGGATAGGAGTGCAGAAATGATGCTTCTTTAATTTGTTTCCACATTTCCCCTAAAGTATGGAATATGTGGAATTATGGGACAAATGGCTCCCATGGTCGTTCCTATGTTCGTTGCCCGGTTCGTTCCTTCCCATATTCGTTCAGAGGTCCTCCCTGAATGTAGGCGGAAATGTGGTCAGGTAAGTTCGCACGGTTTTCCCAGCATGGGGAGAGAGAGAGAGAGAGAGAGAGACGCCCTGAATGTGGGCGGAAATGCGGTCAGCTCGCTCTCGCTCTTTCTCTCTCCATGCTAGAAAACTCGTGAGAACTTCCCTGACCGCATTTCCGCCCACGTTCAGGGCAGATCTCTCTCTCTCTCTCTCCCCATGCACACTGTATGTGTGTGTGTGTGTGTGTGTGTGTGTGTGTGTGTGTGAGAGAGAGAGAGAGAGAGAGAGAGAGAGAGAGAGAGAGAGAGAGAGAGAGAG